TGCATTTAATAGCTGCACGAAGTAGATTGTGATAGCGGAAGAGAATTGCAATTGAGGCTATAGTCAAGCCAGAATGATTTTTTTTTAATCTAGCGATAAGTATAATGGCTGGTCACGACCTTCTACATAGGGACAAAGGGAGAAAAAGAACAAAGCACATGTAGAAAATAGATATAGATATCTGCCTTATACATATATCCTTTCATATACATATATTCATCTTACAATCGATTAATAATTCGCGTAGAAGTTCACATGCCAATTTCCCATTCGCTAGTTCTTGGGTTGTAAGATGATTGAACCAAATGGCATGATACCACGACTGATCGATTACGAGAACTTGCTATATACTTCCCATGTGGCATGAAGTTCTGTACATAAGCTTCCTTAGTCAATTCTTTTGGCTTTAAAATCGTACCAAAAGACCCCACACATGTTATACTGCAGTAAGAAAAGGCACAAACTTTTGAAGGATTCTTGGTATTATAGAGCTACTAAACATGTGCGTATATCTACTGAGAAACTTACATGTAAAGCCTTTTATTTCCGTCACAGCATTTACTACGCTTTTCTGACTACCAAAGCAACATTTCTGCTGTAGAATATTTGACATGCCAATTGGTCACGTCAGTATAGTCATAAAAAGTCTAAAGAGAATTTTGTTATAAAACATGAGCTGAATACATTTTTGGGAGAAAAAAAAAATAATTTATGTGTCGTAAAATTCTGGGACCTGTATACACTGACGTGAAAATTATTTGTTTGAAAAAAGTGCATATATGCTTGGAAAATATTTAAACAATATTTTGTGTAACTAGAAAATGTTTATTTAATATTTAAATATTTTTTTTGTTAATAAAAACGTATTAGATGACTGGTAAACCAATGATTTTTTTTTAAAAAAAATATTGTTTCTGGTGACCGAATAAAATAATTATTTACAAAAACTCAATTTACAGGGAAGACATTTGTTAAAAAAAGTTGATTAACAATAGATAAAATTTTAATATGAATAAAAAAAAATAATAAATTTATTACTAAGTAAATAAATGAAAAAATGATTGGTTTCAAGTTCAATTGTAGTATAGCTACAGTCTGCAACTTTAATATCACAATTTCAGTTTGCTAATTGGATGAGTAAAGGCAGCATGGGGACCAGCGTCAAATATTCAAGTTTGTGATTTTTCAGATGGTTTCCATGGCAACATGGGATCTCAACTGGCCAGTTGAAATAAAATTATAAAGGACAAGAAACAGTCGGTAAATATTTGCAAGAAGACGTTAGTCCGATTTGAGAAATAAAGTGGTGCAGACAAATGATTTTCAGAACAATGTAAAGTTATTTAGTAAATTGGAAATGTCAACAAAAAATCTAGAAAGTGTATAATTTTCAGCTTTCTTATACACCATGTAGATAGCTGATGAATTTAATTAGAGAAAATATTTAAGGAATTTTTTCTTAATTGATTAAATTGTAAATGAAGCAATTGCTTCTCATCTGCAACTTGCAGGATATACTTCACTTTTCCTATAGAAATAAATTGTAAAACCACGACAGTAGATTTATTCAAACGAAAAAAAGGGAGACGAAACGAAGAGCTTAGGCTTCAGGACACGATAAACTGGCTGTATCCCTAATGCCAATTAGTGCCATTCCACGTCTCGAACGAGCACGAAAAGGCTTCTCTTTTTTCCTATTTACTTCTTTTCTCTGCGGCTGTTCCCATCATATCTTTCTCTCGAGCTGTGAATGAAAAAAATGTGGCAAACAAACTACGCGGATGAACAGAGTTTACGAAACTGTTAGATATAATTATCATGGTAGGAATAACTCGGCTCTGGACACATAACTGTGCTCAGTGATGAGATCTCTGAATATGTATTTGTGTTTTATGCGCAGATATTCAGCTTGTCTATTATTACGTTATTTAAAGAGATAAAAATTTTTATTACAATTTAAATAATAATAATATTTAAATAAATACTTTATTCCTTGTGGAATTTAGTTTTTTTTTTCATTGAACATTTTTTTACTGTAAATTGAAGATGATACGATTGATATAAAAAAAAATTCGAGGTGCAATAACATTAGTATAAAGCTTTTATCTATATCGTACACATGAATGGCAAAGTAAAGTCTCAAGGGGATAAAAAGCAACTCTCAAGTTTTTTCTTCTCTTTTATCCTTCACTCGCGTCGATTTAAAAGCTCGTCTAACGAGCCGTGAAAATCGAGGACAGTCCTCTAGAGGTCACAAAAGTCTTCTACTAAGCTAGCTATCGACCACTAAGCTGAACTTTTTTCTTTTATACATTGTGTATCTTTGTTATAAAGGTTATCGCAACTTCAATATGTTTCTTTTTTTTTTTATAAATTTTCGATACGACTGAAAGGAAATTTATATTTTTAAATTGCCATTTCCAATATTCTAGAAAAAATGTACATCAAGATTTCTTGTTTTTTTCTAGACACGTTAATTTTTTTGTGCTAGCACAACTATGGGCTACACAATATGTGGTTTCTGTTGTATAATACATACAACTGAAAACATTTTTTGTCAATCATTGAGTCTGGCAGACGGTGGAGTGTTGAAGGATGTGAGGAAAAAAAATGAACATGTCTGGAATAGTGAACAGAATGAATTCCATTTAAAGTAAGAAAGAAAACAGACAGAGGTAAAGACTGTCTGTTACAAAAGTAGCACACAGCAGGGTGTGTGGAAGAAACATGTATTGGATGAAGAAAAGAGAGTTCGGGGAAAGCAGAAAAGTCCCCTCTGTGTCTATATAGTAGAAGTAGTGGACCAATTTACGACACCCTCAGGGTCGAGTAATACGTTTCAAGCCTCGAGGGGTTCGTTTCTGCCCATTGTTGTCCGCTCTTCAGATTATTTTTGCCGAGATGCGAGATCTCGTTTCATTCTCATTTCCCTCCAGTCGAGTCTGACAGCCCAAGAGAACCCAAGACAGATACTTATTTTTGCTCCGTTTGGCAGTAACTTCCCTTTTCAGTTAGTTTTTTTCAACACCTGATCTATTTCCGCCTGTCTCATCATCCACTTGATCATTTTTCGATAATTTAAACACATTTACTAATCACTGATGAGAAATTATTTAAATTGATGAAAAAGTCATCTGTTAATATTGATCATTGGTTTTCTATTTACATAGGAAAAGTAACAACACTGGAAATACCTATCGATGTGTAAACTGATTTACTTGTCATCAGAATCCTAAAATATTATGTTTGATTTAGTCAGGGTCAAATGAAATTTTTTTTATTTATTTTACGTCTCATATTAATAATAATATAAACGCGTTATGATGTCAGAGTTTAAACTGACCGATTAAGAGTGTCAATATTTACATTTAGTAAAGAAAAAGTTAGGGGGGAAAAAGAGGGAGAAATAGCGAGACAGTTGACCCGTGCTAAAGTAGAAAATGAAAGCGCTTGTTTGGTAATGGCCACCTAATATCCGTACACCTACTTAACTACTCTGCACGCAATCCCACGGCAGAACCCTCGTTTTGAGCTAAAATTAGGGGTGATTTTACGAGGGTGACACTTGTCTCTTTCTTTCTTATACTATCTTTTTTTATCAACCGACAATAACATTCGCCATCATTGCGTATAGACATCCCTTTCCACTCAATAGAGATCCTATTACGACTTGTGGCTCACTTTTTCTCGTGACATTCTACACCACAGCCTATTAACGCGTCACATCCGGCCATCCGAATCGTTGAGAGTCGAGTTACACTAAAAAAAAAAAGATATCGACGCACAATCAGCGACATTTGTCTTTATTTCAACACTTTTTAAATTTATGTATTTTTAATGTTTTCATTTCCGACACAATGATATATTTCTCTATTGTCATTTGAGTATGTTTGTTTTTCAATAATTAAACGGAAAATCAGAATCTATTTGCTCAGTAAAGTTATCTTGATTTCGATCAGATATACTACGAAAGAGGGCAAAAAAAAAATAGAGAAAGAAAAGGGACTAATTCGTTCTGAAGAAGTTGGCGCGATACACTCGTTTTCGGTCGATTAACGTCCTATAAATCAGACTATACTTCTCTGGGTCGTTTACTTCCCATTCCAGGTCGCATTAGTCACAAAAAAATGTAGGATGGGATTAAGAAAAAATAAAAAATATTGAATGAGTATATAATAAAATAAAAAAAAAAAATAATAGATGTTCAAGTCAAAAAGTCTGAGAATTATTTTGTTTTTGTTTGTAGATAAATACATAGTGGAATGATAAAAATGTCTGACATTCTACTCTGTTTACATTATTGCATATTGCTCTTCAATTCGATAAATGATTCTTAGAAGGTATTCAAAAAAAAAAAACAAAAAAACGCAGAAGTGGATTAGATAAAAAAATTGAAACAGTAGGAAAGATAACGTTGATTATAAATGATTTAGTACACAATACAAATTAACAATTAAATTGGCACAATATACATATATGTGTATATTGGAAGCAGAAGGACATGCAAGTGTCCAAGCCTCACGGATGAGTGAATACCCACGCACGTGTTGACATATCTCGAATCTCGAGGTCCTGCTTCCAGATCAAAGGGGGGATAAACACGTGTGTGTATTGTCGGTACGTGCACAAGGGAGAGAGGAAGGGACACGTGTCCCACAACTCGTCGACGTATAGGTACTCTTCATTGAGTGCTTGCCACCCTATGCTAGCCATTATACTACATAACGTGAGTTCGAGAGCTCAAGGATTCTGTATCGAAATTAGCACGACGACCCCAATCGAGTCTATCCCATATATGCCATGATCAAATGCAAGTGGCATCAAGTCCATCAAGCAAATATATACTAAGTGCCTTCCCATTTGTTGGCACACGTGTTTCTCTATTAAGATTGGTAAGTTAAATTGACGTTGTTTTTTAATAAATTATATTACAAATAATGAACAGTATAATAATGTTTCATTATTTTTTATAATATGAGAACAAAAAGAGAATAGCTTACCGGATGCCGAGCGGCTGCGGCTGCAGCAACGGCAGCAGCATTGATTCCAGCACTTGGATACATCTTTAAGCCACGTTGTTGAACGGTATAAACGGACTCTTCAGCACGCCTCGGTATGTATGTATTTATCCTTTTTTGTCGCTTATAAGCGCACTCTCACGAGAGACCTGCCATGTCAAACACGGCCCTTACTCTTGCGCACACACAGAAAACAGTATAACCACAAGGTAAAAAACAAAATGTGCTCACGACGTGAAAAACATTCAAGTGTGGCTGTAATTGTATTTATTAAATGAAATTCAATTATTTTCTTCCACTTGACTGCACTAATTTACGCGATTAGGCAAGGTCGGTATAATGCGTTAATATTGAAAATCCCGCCACCACTTCACTAGTCATCAGACCGCGCGCCATTTACTGCACCTCATAATCCTAGTTTGCTTTTAGCCTTTATATCCCTCGGTCGTTTTGCTCAATAAAGCTGATTTCCGACCCTCCAACGACTGTCAAAGAATCAAACAGGCTCGGGATGCTGGCTAGAGAAGCAAAATTAAAGGAAAACGAGAGAGAGAGACAACGTGTACTATGTTGGTAAAACAGACGTAAACCGGCTTGACTCAGATTCGGCGCGAAACAGGTGCGAGTGAGACAACAAGAGACGCTCTTCAGCTGCTTTGAGTTTCGGAAAATGTGCGGGAAAATAATTCGTCACTGAATATATTTATTTATAAGAAATACAACGTAAGCATTTTACAGCTGAATAAACCTCAAGTTCTTTCAACTTCACAGTTATTTTCAACACCAAACAGAAATGATTTTCAATAAAACTCGTGTGTTTATCCAATTAATTTGAAATAAATCATCATTAATAACAACGAATCTATAGAATTAGTAATCCTTAACACTAGACGTCAATTTAATTGAAGTCAAAGTCACAGTTGTTACCATGAAACACAAGTTTATGTCGGACAGACGCACTAACAGTCTGCTCTCGACGAAAGCCTAGACACAACTGACGACGGCACAGTTGGTGGGGATCACCTCCCCTCAAGCGCCCGCTTGCGGCTAACTGCTCGATGAGTCAAGGGGAAAAAGAGCCCTCCCCACCATGAATGACTATTCTCGTTATACTACTACTACTACACTACTACCACTACATACTACATTCACCACATCGACCATTCGACCAACGCATTAACTGGCGCGATAGCTCCTTTACAATTATTGCGATTAGTTACATGAATGACCCAGAGGGCGGGAACACGGAAAATCACGACACGTCGGCCTAATTGAAGCCAGATAAGGCGACCAATGTACGTCTAACGTTGATGCCTGCGTTTACGTGACTGTACTTTATTTAGCTTTACACTTAGTTATGCGTAATAAAGTTGATTAAAGGAGCACGAGATTGGGCGAAAATAGCAATTCCATGCAAGTTATAGGGAAAATAGTTACTGGTCACTCTACTTAAATTTCTTGATGACTTAGTAAGTCATGCTTCTAACAAATTATTTATTTAACAAGAAAAAAATGGAATATCATCGTTTACTTTTTATTATTGATATAAAGATTTTGTTATCAAAAAAAAAAGGACAAAATAAAAAGGAAGAAATATCTTAAATTTAATAAAGATATGAGAGTTTTATTTTTAATACAAATCTTAAGTGATTAGTTACGCATATGTGGTTGACTCGGTTTTAGTTATAGAAAATAGTGTGGTGAAAAATGTATTTTATTGTCGAAATAAATGATAGCCACTGAGAGTAATCGCGAGAATTGGGTGCAAACTAGCGCATTTTATACGGCTCGCAAGTTCTTCTCCCCTGAGTGCCAAAGGGGGACGGTTATCGGTTCAACAAATCTGTTTGTAGCGGCTCTAGCAGCGATGAGCGGATAACTTGATAATGTTCCAATCGTAAGTTACATGTTATTCGATTCACTCGCCATAATACTTGGCTATTTATTCGTCAATCGAACGAAGAAGAGTTTATGAGAGATGAACGTGGGAAGAGTAATATGTAACTATATAGTAAAATAGCGCTAACAGCAAACACATGAAAGGCGGAAGCACGGTCCCAGCTGTTATATTCCAATAAAATCGATCGATAAACCGTTTGGGAGTCATACAAACGATTATTATTTACGATCTAACGGAATATAGACACCGCGAAATTTTTATCGGCATAAAATTTGAAAAAATTCACGTGGCCAATGGAGGAGGGTGGATGATAGGATTGTGCGAAAACGAGAAAATCGACGAACAGAAACAGTCTGACAAAGAGATGTTGTAGAGAGAACAGCAGAAACATACGGCAGTATTAGCTGAACGACCGGGCGAGCAAACAAATCAAAAGTTTTTCGCAAAATGGCCGTCACCAATGTGTGACATGGATGTCCGGGTTCTTTCTCTCCTCCCAAACACTTGTGATTTCCCTCACTTTCCACACTACCACAAATATGGCGCCTTCTCTCGTTTTTCCAACCCCTCGACAACGACTCTCCCGACGTAGAAGATGTTTAAAGAGATGCACACATATAGAATATTACAGAAGTGGGAAAAGAGACCAAGCAAGAGAAAACGAGAGCGAATGAGAGTGCAGTATAGAATCCTTATTCACGCTACCAAAGTGTGCGCGTCACAGTGTGTACAGATGAAGCTTTAGGTACTCAGTTATCTCAGTATGAGTGTTTCCTCTTGCGTGAATATCACGCTGCACACAGTCCCAAGCAGTTTCCTATACTTGATTGCCGCTATCGTCTGTTTGCCTACAAAGGAACTCCACGCGGACTCAAGCGCCTTCCTCCAATCACAAACTACTTTTAAGACTCTTGACTAACCAGAGAATTCGTTTCCCCACATAACAACTTTACCATCATGTTGATGTGCAAAGAGTCGAATAAACTGACACGATCGTCCAATCAACATGAGACTTTTTCGACCTTATTCTGACAGTGAGTTGTCGAGTCCGCGTGGACTCCGTGGTTACATCGCCCTATGGAACGAAGGTGCTATGCGAAGCCGCAGCGAAACATGAAAAATAGGGGGCTACACGGGAAAAAACACGGACCTACCGAGGACCCAGATGACTGGCGACGAGGTGAGGAAGAAGGAGAGGTAACCAATACAACTTGCGTGAACGAGTGAGAGAGTATGTTTAGGAATCAAGCTGTGGGATATCCGGCGAACCGAGACAGAGAAGAAGGGATGAGAATGGAAAAGTAACATAACGAAACGTCGATCCCATTACCTGAAGCCTCCCCTCATACACTTGTATGTCGTCTTTTTCTCTTCTCTTTCTTATCTCACTCTTGCTCAAGTTTCTCCACACTATACAAAACTCCTTTCAACCCTTAATCCAAGGAGGATTAGAAAACCCCATTGTCATGCTTCGCGGAAACGGAGCGGCCATTCTCATGTGCACGCGACAGCGGAAGAAGTGAAAGAGAATGAAAGACAGAAAATATTGGGATATCTAACTGCATTGCCAACTGAAAGAGACACATATTTACTCCCACATGTCGACGTCGAGATTTTAAAACGATGAAACTCGCGAAAGTAAATCTTCACCTCACTCCACGTGCTTTCTCTTTTTTTATTATTTACCTACCCATTTTTTCACTCTCTTCCCCTCTTCTTTATATCTAATCCACCCTCGATCATGGATTGCGCTCTTTTATTATCCACCCCTTGTATCATCAGAATATCATCATCATCATCATCATCAAGTGAAAGAGTAATTTTTCCCCGTTTTGCATTCATTTCATTTCTATATACAATGTGTGTATATAAAGAATAAAGATGCGCCGCGATCCAATGAATGCAGAAAAAAGCCAAATGTCGGCGAGGATGCAGGGCCATATTTTAGTAGCAGATATAGCGAGGAAGGAGAGAGCGAGAGTGTTGGCGAAGCTGTCGGTTGCGCTTGGTCGACTGCGGTTATACGGAGCTGCCGCCACTATTGCCGCAGCCGGTTTGCGTGTTCGTCCGTGTTCGCTGGTGGATACGTGTCCTCGATGTTCGATGCTCACTGACCGAGGGAGAGAAAAGGGGAGAGAACACTCGATGGCGCGCGCATAAGGTACCAGAAGCAAGAATAGGCTGAGAGAGGAAGAGGGATAAATTGAGAATGAAGGGTTGGTGTGAGTAAGAAGCAGTCAAACGTTTTGAGATGAGAAAGAGAGAGTAAACCAGTCGCTGCGGTTCGTGCGGTTAACCACACCGATGCTCTCAACCCACGGAGACTTGTCGACCACACGGGAATTCACGAGAGACTCTCGGCTACTTCCGGACTTCTACAAAAGCAACACCAGTCTTTTCGTATTTTCTTTTTTCTCTACTTTTCTTCTTTGTATTCGCAAGGGTGACCTCAAATGACTGCGGCTTTGATTAAATTTTTTTTCAGCAAAACAAAGATAAGCTTTTAACATATACAATTGATTATCAGTGGTTGTCGTTTTTTTAAATACAAATTTATGCAATCGCATAGTTCATGTTTATTTATAACGTAATAACCGAAATTACCTCAATGACGTGACACATTTTCTGGTCAATAAGAGTGAAATCATCATAGAATTGTTTGTGTAAATATAGTTTGATGCAGTCGGGTATATGACAATTATCAAATAAAATCTCTTTTAATAAATTTTTTGTAAATTTATATTTAATATGAGGTTTTTTTTTTCAACTTAATAACTTCAAGTCTTTTAAATCATTTAAAAAGTCACATGCGTATTAATTTTCATAATTCAATTTAGATCACATACATGTTATTTTTGATATCATAAATATATAATCAGATAGATGAAAATCTAAAGAAGCCTTTTAAGTAAATCTGCGACGTTGACACTTATCGCTCTTTCAACGTCTGACGAACTTTGATCTGCTTCGGGAATTAATGTTTGCACATAGGCATAAACCGAATCTAGTGAACATAAACTGTAAATAGAGTATATAAATAACATATTATAGGGATTCCTAGAGAAATTCACAACTCTAGTCCCACCGAGCCCGAGGCAAGTATATATTCCTGAGTAGTAGTAGAGTTGTTTAGAGTATGATACATAATACAGTTGACAAGCATGTATGCTATTAACAGTATATCTCGAACACTAATATGTACTAAACTCTCTCAGAACAGGGATTCATGAAATTGATTGTTATATGCTGCATTCAGTCATCAAAGATACAGCTTTTGTTCCCATCTCCAACTGACATTGAGTTTCAAACTGTACCTTAGATTCATTCATTACCATTTGATACTGTTCAGATACTTTTGTTGAATTATATACAATGAATGTGTACCTGAATATCACGCCCTTACTTGATGTAGAATATAAGCAGAATTATTTTATAAGTTGCTCAGGGAAGGACCAGAAATTTAAAACCATTTTTTTTTCACTTTAGTTAGGGTCGAAATCGAATGAAAAGGGTAAAATGACTCCGATTGACTTCATGAACAATCTCACACAATATTCCCCATCAGACACCACGTTAGACGCTCAATAGCTTAATCGGAGTATAATAAAAAATCCTTTCAATATGTTTTTTATAATCAAAACCCACTTCATAAAATTTTTTTACGTTGGAAGAAAAGTGTCTTGGATTATAGGAAATTTCTTACATCAATATTTTTACAAGCACTATAATGCAAGTGTCAGATTGAAAAGTCTTTTTTTTTTAAATATAAAAATAAAAAATGAATAGAATTTTTTTGTAAAGAAAAAAAATTATTTTTCACTGCTATTTTTTTTTGTTCTCATACACTATTCATTACTTTATTTATTTAAACAATTTTAGCTGGATGAATAGATTAAAAATGTTACCAAGAATTGTTGCAATAACTAAAACATTCTAATAAATACTACAAAAAGTAGTTCAAGTGAAAAAGAAATTTTCTAGTTGATGAAAAGAAGTTTGAAAAGATCAGATGACACTCTTTACATATAGTATCTTCTTTTGTGCTGAAGACAAATTGTTGTAAGAATTCCCACTGGCTAAAATCTCAGTGATGTTGGTTGAATA